CCCCAAAACCCCAAAACCCCAAAACCCCAAAACCCCAAAACCCCTTATTATCTTGGAATGTTTGAAATATTAAAATATCCAAAACTCGATTAGAGAATCATGGCAGTATCATTGATTGTCGCAGAGCTCTTCTTGCTCGCCACATCATCGCTTTCAATTATCTTTGGAATTATCAACGTTGTTTCTGTAAACACCGTTGACATGGAAGAAATCAAAGCCTCAGGAGGAGATTTTGATGAGAATGAAGGCTTAGTTGACGAAAACGAAGACGAAAATGAGGACAGAATTGACCCCAGGAGAAGGGAGACCGTTGACCAGAAGAAATACGAATTGATGCTAAGGCTGCACTCCAAGATCGCAGCTGGAGCCAACTCTTTCTTGTTCCAGGAGTACGCCTACATGCTTGTGTTCATCGTTGTCTTCGGTGCCATCATCGGGTTCCTCGCTGAGACCAAGCTCGGAGAAGTCTGGACTGTGATTGCCTTTGTGCTGGGCGCCGTCATCTCAATCATCTCTGGATTTTTGGGAATGAGAATTGCTGTGGCCGCCAACGTCAGAACCACCAAAGAATGCTCGATTTCTCTGTCAAGAGGATTTGTTGTTGCTTACAAAGCCGGGTCTGTCCTTGGATTCTGCTTGGTCGGACTCGCCTTGTTGTTCCTGACTCTACTGATCATGATCTACAGGAGAGTGTACCTCCCAGACAAAGAGTCAACTGAGAACCCTGAAGAATACCTTATGATGTTTGAGAAAATTGCAGGATACGGACTCGGAGGATCTTCCATTGCTCTCTTCGGTAGAGTAGGTGGTGGTATCTACACTAAGGCTGCAGATGTCGGTGCCGATCTCGCTGGTAAAGTCGTCAAAGGACTCCCAGAAGATGATGTCAGGAACCCAGGAACCATCGCTGACAACGTCGGTGACAATGTAGGAGACATCGCTGGTATGGGTTCAGACTTGTTCGGGTCACTTGCTGAGTCATCATGCGCCGCCCTCGTCGTGTCTGGAACATCTGAACAGCTTGTTCTGAACACTGGAGCATTCTACTACCCACTGTGCATTACTGGAATTGGAGTCGTGGTATGTTTGATCACATGGGTGTTCGCCACCAGCCAAGAAGCATGTTGCAAGATTAATAGATTCAGTGATGTTGAGAGAGTGATTAAGTACCAACTGGTCATTTCGACTGTATTATTGATTCCAGCTTTGTTTGCAGTTGCATTCTTTGTGCTGCCTCCAACATTCAGCTTCACTGGAATCGATCACGAAGTCACCCACATTGAAGTATTTGTGTGTTCTCTGTGTGGACTGATCTCAGGATTCTTGATTGGAATTGTCACCGAATACTACACATCCAACGAGTACCGCCCAGTTCAGGAACTGGCTGACTCATGCAAGAAAGGAGCTGCTCCAAATATCATCAAAGGACTGGCTTTGGGATACATGTCATGTGTGGTCCCAATCTTCTGCTTAGCCATCACCATCTATGTGTCATTCACCTTAGCCGGAATGTACGGAATCGCTGTTGCTGCTTTAGGAATGCTTTCAAACTTGTGTATCGCATTGGCTATTGATGGATATGGACCTATTGCCGATAACGCTGGAGGTATTGCTGAAATGTGCGATCTCCAACTCACCAGAATCAGAACTGATAAACTTGATGCCGCTGGAAACACTACCGCTGCTATTGGAAAGGGATTCGCCATTGGATCTGCTTGTTTGGTGTCCCTTGCTTTGTACGGAGCATTTGCCACCAGAGCCAACCTCTCAGTTGTTAACGTTCTTGAGCCACTTCAGTTTGCTGGATTGGTTGTTGGAGCCATGCTTCCTTACGCATTCTCTGCTATGACCATGAGAGCTGTCGGAACTGCCGCTGAAGCCATGATTGATGAAATCGCCAGACAAGACAGAGAAGGCCTCATTAGAGAAGGAGTCGAGCCAGACTATGCCAGATGCATCGCCATTTCAACTGAGTCTTCATTGAGAGAAATGATTGCCCCAGGACTCTTGGTCATCGTGTCTCCAATTGCTTGCGGACTTCTGTTCGGACCAAAGGGTGTAGCAGGACTGTTGGCTGGAGCCATCGTGTCAGGCATCCAGATGGCCATCTCAGCATCCAACACCGGAGGAGCCTGGGATAATGCCAAGAAGTACATCGAAGCAAACAAACTGCAGCCAGATATTCTCAATGAGAGAGACGAAGAAGGAAACACAATTGTGGTCAGACATGGAAAAGGAACTGAGACCCACAAAGCAGCCGTTGTCGGAGATACCGTTGGAGATCCATTGAAAGATACATCTGGACCAGCTCTGAATATTTTGATCAAGTTGATGGCAATCATCTCCCTTGTGTTCGCATCAAGCTTCTAAGACTCTTAAAGATTATCTTGTAAACTCATAAACTGAATACATAATGATTAGTACCCTCATAGTTACATATTCGAATTGCATCATTTGTTTCAATTCATGAATTGAACAACGGGGTTTTGGGGTTTTGGGGTTTTGGGGTTTTGGGGTTTTGGGGTTTTGGGGTTTTGGGG